TCATGGTACTGGCACAAAAACAGACATGTAGATGAGTGAAAAAGAACTGAGGATGCATAAATAACCCTAGACATAGTCAGCTATTTTATCTTTGACAAAGAGGCCAAAAAACATACACTGGAGGAGAGATAGACTCTTTAGCAGATGATGCTGGGAAAACTGGCTGTTCACATGCAGAAGATTGAATCTAGAACTGTAACTATCACCACGTACTAAAATAAAGCAAAAGGGATCATAGATCTAAACATTAAAGTAGAAACATTGAACCTACTGGAAGATGAAATAAGTACAATTTTTGAGGACATAAGTGTAGGAAGAAACTTCTGAACAGAACTCTGATTGCACAAGAAATAACATCAAGAATCAACAAATATGATCATATCAAATTTAAAGATCTGCATAGTGAAGGAAATAACCCAACAGAGTGAAGAGATAACCTACAAAATGGGAAAAAATATTTTGCCAGTTATACCTTGTACAAAGGACTAATATCAAGACTATATAAAGAACTCAAAGAATTAGATCCCCCTAAAATAAAAGATCCAGTCAAAATTGGGCAGCTAAAATGAATAGATACTTCTCAGAGAAAGTATAGATGGTGAATAAATACATGAACAAATGTTCAACATTTCTGGCCATTAGAGAAATACAAAAATTTTTTTTTGGTACCGGGGATGGAACTCAGATCCCTGCACTTGCAAGGCAGGCGGCAGAACCACTGAGCTAAATCCCTGGCCCAGAAAAATACAAATTAAAACAACACTAAAATTTCATATTATTGCCGGGCATGGTGGCATACGCCTGTAATCCAAGTACCTGGGAGGGTGAGGCAGGAGGATCCTGTGAGTTTGAGACCAGCCTGGGCTACATAGTAAGTTCCAGGTCAGTTTCACTACATAGTGAGACCCTGTCTCAAAAAACAAACAAAAAAATTCATATTATTCCAGAAAAAAGGCTACCATCAAAACATCAAATAACAAATATTGGGTCAGGGATGTAGCTCAGTGGTACTGCTGCCTGCTTTGCAATCCTTAATTCCCAGGTTTGATCCCTTGTAGAAAAAAAAAACAAAACAAAACAAAAAAAAATCACCAAATATTGGTGTAGCTATGTGTCTGTTTGAAGGAACCCTTCTAAATTGTTTGTGGGGATGTAAACTAATATAAACACTATGGAAATCATTATGGAGATGCCTCAAAAAACTACATGTACAAATTCCACTTAACCTAGCTATTCTCCTTCTAGATATCTTTCTGAAAAAGTTAAAGAAATTATATTACAGTGATATATACAAACTCACATTTAGAGCAGCGTAACTCATAATAGCTGAATGTTGCAAACCACCTACAAGTCCATCAAGAGATTAATGGATAAAGAAAATGTAGTATTTATAAACTGTGGGGTAGTATTGTGCCATAAAGAAGGATAAATTTGAGTCATCTGTGGGAAAATGTATATCTCTTGAGACCATAATATCAAGTGAAATAAAGCAGACACACAACTTAGATATTACATTGTTCTTTTACATGAGAAACTCAAAGCAGAAAACATTAAAGAGCAAAATAAAAGATAGATACTAGGAAACAGAAATAGATCTTTTGCAAAAGGGAAGGGGTTGAGATGGAGGAAGTGGGGAGGGAAGAGAAGGAAGAGGATGATAAAAGAATTAAGATGTGTTATGTAGCAACTCCTCTTGACTTTATGGCCAAACTTATCAGCATAAATATAAGGTAAATGGCTTATTGGTAATCTTTTATCAGCTAAGATACAATCATGAATGTGTATGTATTTTATCAACTTCATATGGAAAGCAACATTTAACCAAATTACAAAGAGAAATTCGCAAACCTATATCTATAGTGGCTTATTTTAGCTCTGATAGAGCAAGCACATAAATAAGAAGTAAAGCTATAAAAAAGTTGAACAATTAAAATTTCAAAATATTTTATAGGATATTGATTATTTGGGGTTGATCTATTTTATTTAGCAAGTTTGTTTAATATTTATATTTATTAGTTTTTCTGGAGATTATGTTTTGAAATTTATATAATTATAAACAGTATTTTCTATTTTTATCCTTATTCATTTGGTTTTAATTTAATTTAATTTTTTTGTATTGGGAATTGAGTCCAAGTCTTTTGTTGTTGTTGTTACCGGGGATCAAACTCGGTTCCCTGTGCTTGCAAGGCAGGCAACAGAACCACTGAGCTACATCCCCAGCCATTTGATTTTTAATTTTGAGGCAGGTTCTTGCTAAGTTGCTAAATTGTGTAGGGTAGGCTCAAACTTGCAATCCTACTGCCTCAGCCTCTGAGTGATGGGATTACAAGCATGTACAATTACGCTCAGTTTACATGGTCTTACATATAGAAAACCCTAAAGATTCTACACAAAGCTATTAGGACTAATAAATTGATCAAAGTTTCAGGGTACAAAATCAACAAAAATGAGTTGCTTGTCTATACACTAATAATGAATAATCTGAAATGGAAATTAAGTGGACAGTTCTATTTACAACAGTATCAAAAAGGGTAAAATACTTAGGAATAAACTTAACCAAGGCAGCAAAAGAGTAGTGAAACCTACAATATAGAGCTATGGAAATTAAGAAGAAATATAAAATGAGAGGACTTCCTGTGTTCACAGATTGGAAGATTTAATCCCAGCTTTCAGTTTTGGTTATCAATATGTAACTTAAACTACCTCTTTTTTGGTGGTAGTGGTGGTGGTGGTACTGGGGATTGAACCCAGATAATCTTTTCCCTGAGCTACATCGCCAGCCTGGGCTCACTAATTGCTAAGTTGCCCAGGCTGGGCTGGACATTGCAATCCTTCTGCCTCAGCCTCCCCAGAGAGCTGGGATTTCAGGTATGTACCACCATGCCCAACTTCAGTTTGTAATTTGATCAATAATTATCAATAGATGAAAGATTGATAGGTTCACCTTACCAACTGTATTTTTACACAATGATGATTGAATTTATTATTAAAAATTAAAAATTAATATTCATAAGTCAGATGGACCTATTTTTTGTATAGTCTTGTCATGCTTGGTATTAAGTGTGCACTGTCATCATCAAATATGTAGAACATCTATAGTTAACACAACATTTTTATCTCTTCTTTCTAGACTTCACTAAAATAACACAAAAGGATAAAATAGCAATAAATCCATAATGACAAAGTGATTAGGATTAGAGATGGGTAACAGAGGTCTTTAGATTATTAAGATGGAAAGTAAATATGGCAAAATGTTAAGATATGACTAACCTGGACTATGGGTGCATGGTATCCATTATATTTTCTTTGGAACTCTTTATGATTAAATATTTTTAATTAAAATTTTATGTTAATAATATTTTTGGGATAAAATATTACTAGTGGATGTTTGGAGTACATAAAGATTGAATTCATGGTGGTACATGTATACAACACATCTTTTTTTTTTTTTCTTTGATTTTTTGAGACTGACCTGGAACTCACTATGTAGCCCAGGCTGGTCTCAAACTCACAGCAATCCTCCTGCCTCAGCTTCCCGAGTGCTGGGATTACAGGCGTGCGCCACCAAGCCCAGTTTAACACATTTTAATTACTTTTTTCTTAATTCTCTTCCGCTCCCCTCCCATAACGCCCCCTTCCTCTCTCTCCATCTCTTGGTCCCTTCCCACTTCCAAAAGATCGATCTCCCCGTACTTCTTTTTTTTTTTTTTGAGATAGGATCTTGCTATGTAGTTCAGTTCAGGCTGGCCTTGAACTCACTATGTAGCCCCAAGCTGGCCTAGAACTCGCGGTGATCCTCCTGCCTCAGCCTCCTGAGTGCTAGAATCACAGGCGTGTGCCACCATGCCCAGCATTCTTAATATTAAACTGCACAAAAAAGTTAGTTCCAGAAAATGATGCTGTTCTCAAAATGTTTATCAAACTTTAATATGCATATAAATAATGGGGGGGTTCTTAAAGTCCAATTTGGAATTTTTAGTCCTGGTGCGGGGACTGAGAGTTTGAATTTCTACAAATATCCCAGCTGATACAAATACTGGTGGTTTGTACAACACACTTTTTACAGCAGGATTTTAGAGAACTATAAGACAGTGTGATAAAAAGTGTTACGAAGGGTCTAGGGATATAGCTCAATGGCGCTGTTCCAGCCTGGCAAGTGCAAGGCCTTGCATTTGATTCCTGGTACCAAAGAAAAAAAAAGTGATAAGGATCTGGGGCATTGGCTTCTTTAGATAAAGTACTATTGTCATAATCAGATGACATTTGAGTTAGAGACTCAAATGGCAAGAAAAATTTTATCACTTACAAATCTATATGAAAGATGTTCCTGATAGAGGCGAAAGCAAGTGCGAAAGTCCGGAAAGAAGAATAAATTACAGCATTTCTAGAAACAGATCACTGTGACCTTAATAAAGTACATGAACTTTTCTTCTAAATTTAGGTGTAATTTCATGGAGTACTGTACTGGAAATTGTGAAACCTAGGTAGGTTTAGACTCCATCCCATCATCCCATTAGCCCAGTGCTTTTTGTCAAGCCACAACCTATCTCGATCTGTATCCTCATAATTACGGGAATATTTAAAAATAATACCTAGTCTACAGGGTTGGTGTGAGAAGTAAATAAGATTAGATATATAAAAAGTACTTTTTGAATTGCAACATACTACCCACATTCACGTGTAATTATCGCATACATGAAGGGTTCCCATCTGATCTATGGGGGCAGCAGCTCTTTCAAGCCGTTTTATTGTGCACCTCTGTCTCTTTAATTATATCTAGCAGCTCTAGGAAAAGAGCAAAAGACACTGATACTTCGTTATTCTAGGTTGTGCGAGAAAAACAAAGTCCAGACCCCGGGGCGTAACAAGAAAGGTACTGAAAGGGCCCGAATCATCCTACAGAAGCCATTTCCGGTTTCAGACTGCGAGGGCCGAGGGGGAGGGGAGAGTTGATTAAGGGAACCGCGGTCAGGCAGCCAGTATCCCACAATCCCCTTCTCCTGTTCCTCTGTCCTCGCTCAAGATGGCGCTGCTCGCGATACATTCTTGGCGTTGGGCAGCCGCGGCGGCTGCTTTCGAAAAGCGGCAGCGTTCAGCAATTTTGATCCAGCCTCTAGTTACTGTCCTCGGCTCCCATCCGCGGTGGCAGTCACATCTGCGCGGCGCCGCAGGAACTGCTCGCAACTACCAGGTGAGATGCCGGTCGCATGGAATAGTAGGGTGAAGGACAAGGGGACCTAATAGGGAAAAGGTTGCCCTTGTGACCTCGGGTCAGAGAGAAGCCCTGGAAGAAGAATTGCCTGGGATAACTCCCAGCTACAAGGAAGAGAAAGAAATTTAGGGTTAGTGATTTGAGGAAGAGGTAAAGAAAACTTATGGGGACAACAAAGAGGAACGAAGAGGCAGGTTCAGAGGGCACCTGGAGCGCCGAAGTATGTGGTAGTATTTGTAGTTTTTGTTGTTGTTGTTTGTTTTTTCTGTTGTTAAGAGATGGGGCAGGCAGCATGCCCAGCCCGCTTACATTTCTAAATGCAAAGAAGACTGGGCTACTTTCCAAAATTAGTAATGGAATATGGTACCAAATTGCCTGTGGTTCAGATTTTAGACGCAGGTAGCATTTTGGAGGGCGCTGTAAGATGACTGTAAGTCACCTATAAACAAAAGACAAATTGAATTGGCAGCAGTCAACTTCTTTGCTAACAGGCGTACTCCCTGATAAACGAAAACCGTAATTATCTCACTCTTCAAAACGAACAACGCCCTAAATTTCTACATAAACATGATTATCTTTCGATCTGAATATTCAGTAGTGTTATGTGTGCACAGGTCACTTTGGAAGTTGGAAAAATGTTTTTCCTTAGCTTATGAATATAGCAGCACTTTTAAATGTCTTTGTCCATTATTAACTCCAGAAAAGTTTAAAAATTATCAGTACTTACTATACTTCAGTATATCTTTTTATTTCTCATATATTGAAAGAAAAGTTAGTTACCACCACTTCGCCAATATCACTTTAAAGTACAGTATTGTCAGCTTTGAGAACCTCTTAAGTTTTTTTGTCAACAAACATTTGTTTACTTCTATGCGCATAAGCACTGTGCTAGATCATAAAATACCAAGAGAAGCATACAGTCATGCCTTCAAGAATTTCATAGTTTTAAAAATTTTAATCGAACACATAATGGTATATATTTATGGAGTGTAGTTAATATTCAATACATGTACATAATTTGTAATCATCAGATTAGGGTAATTGGTATATCCATCTCCCAACACTTGTCGTTAATATATAGCATAATATCGTAGAGCTGAAGGAAACCTTAGTGTAGTATTATGAACTCATGTTAGTGGATTGGATCAGCACTTTTTTTTAGATAAATTCAGTAGAACAGAAATATTGCTTCTTACATATTAAAAAGTATTTTATGAACATTTATGTATATATACATTCTCCACATATATATGATTTCAGAGATTCATTGTAAAGTGAATTTTTCACCAAGAATAGTGCTCAAGAACCATGCTGTGCAATAGAATATGTTTATTGGGCCGGGGCTTTAGCTCAGTGGTGCTGGTGTTTGCCTGGTAAGCACACGGTCCTGAGTTCAATCCCTGGTACCAGAAAAAAAAAAGAATATGCTTATTAAAATTAAAGGACATCTGGGAGTGGTGGTACACACCTGTAACTCCAGCACTCGGAAGGCTGAGGCAGGAGGATTGCTTTGAGTTTGAGGCCAGCCTGTGCTATACAGTGAGCTCAAAGCCAGCCTGAACTACATAGTGAGACCCTATCTAAAAAATAAATAAACAAATAAATAAGGTTACAGGACAGCTGACACTCTATTAGTTGCTATTAAAAGGATTTATGCATTTTGAATGATACAATTTTGAATTTATTTCAGTAATCAACTAATGGTAGAAACAGGCATCATAGTTTTTTTCTCAGTTCCTTTTAGCTGAGTTTAAAGAGTATGTATTGACTGTGATACTGTTCCTATACTTTTAAAAAATTTTAAACATTTTTATTGAGATAGAAGTCATATCCCATAATTCACCTGTTGAAATTGCGCAATTCAGTGGGTTTTAGTATATCCAGTGATGTGTACCACCATTGCCACAATCAGTTTTACATTTTTACTGCCTCAGAAAGAAACCCACTACCTTTTGACTGTCACCTTTCTGTAACCTTCTCTCTCTCCCAGCCCTAAGCAACCACCAGTCTATATTAATTCTGTATGTATTTGTTCTGGAATTTCAGATGAATGCATTTATGTAATATGCCATCTTTTGTGAATGGTTGCTTTCATTTAGCACTATGTTTTCAAGGTTTGTTCATATTATGGCATGTGTAAGTACATCATTCCTTATTAGGGCCAAATAATGGTCTATATGTGAGTACAGTATGAAAGATTCTCTTTATGCATTTATCAGTTGATGGTTGTTTGGGGTTATTTTCACCTTTTGGTTCTTATGAATAGTGCTATTATAAATATTGATATATAAGTTTTTGTGTGGACATAAGCTTTTATTTCTTTTAGGTATATATACTTTGTACTCCCATAAGAGTAGAATTGCCAAATCATATGGTAACTTTATGTTTGTTTCATAAGAAACTGCCAGACTGGTATTCAAAATGGCTGCAAGCTTTACATTACTACCAGGAGTGTGTGAGGGTTCCTATTTCTCACTGACCCTTGACCTGATTTTGATTCTAGCCATCATAGTGGGTGTGAAATGGTACTTACATCATGGTTTTGATTTGTGTCTCCTTTATGACTAAAGATAATGAGTATCTTGCCATATGTTTATTGACCTGTTTGTATATCTTTTTTGGAGAAATGTCTATTTGTATCCTTTGCCTATTTTTAAAATGGATTATTAGGTTTTTGCTTTTTGGTGCTTGGAGCTTAACTCTACCGTGTTCACAATAAGCATGAGCTCTATTGGTGTGCTATACATCTCAGCTCAGGGTTTATAATTTTATTTTTTTAATGATTTATAGAAGTTTTTATACATTTTGGGCACAAGTCCCTTATCAGATAGATAATTTGCAAGTGTTCTCTCATTGTGTGGGTTATCTTTTTAGTTTCTTGGTAGTGTCTTTTGAAGCACAAATGTTTTTCATTTTAGCTGGGGTGTGTAGTGGTAAAGCAGATGCTTAGCGTGTGCAAGGGCCCAGGTTTGATCTTTTGTACTAGTTTTTGTTTTTGTTTTGATGAAGTGAAATGTTCCTATTTTTTTTGTTGTTGTTGCTCATGCTTTTGGTGTTATATCTAAGAATCTTTTGTCAAATCTGAAATCATGAAGATTTACCGATATTTTTTGTGAGCCTTTTATAACTTCATTCTAGTGAGGTAATATAAACATTACTCATACGTAGTTCTAGTTCCTTCCTCCTTTTTGTTTTATTTTTATATATTGCCAAGTGTTATAATTCTAGCAATATCTTATCAAGATTATTAATTTATATAATGTCCTTTAAAGAAGTTGAGAGGAGAAAGAAGGTATGTAACTTTTGTTACACTGACTTTATCATTTTTGGTAAATGATATCTAGAATTATTTCTTTATCCAGCTGTTCTCTCACCCATCTCCCTTTTGATGTTATTGGCAAATGTATCTCTATGTCATAGAATAAAAATATATCCATATATAATATAGATATAATTACTTTGTACATTTGCCTTTCAATTAGTTCAAAGAAGAAAGTAGGAAAAGTAAGCATTTGTATTGTCTTGTGTAGTTTTCCAGTGCTTTGTTTTTTCTGTGTAGACTTAAATTACAATCTGGTTGTCACTTACTTTCAGGCCTAAAATCTTCCTTTCATTATTTCTTGTGAGGTATCTCTTCTAGCAACAAATTCTCCCAGTTTTTGCTTGGGAATGTCTTTATTTCGCTTTCATTTTAGACCAGTACTTTTTACTGTATATAGGATTTTTGCTGTACAGTTTTTTTTTTAGCATTTTTGAAAGTTAACCCAGTGCCTTCTGGCCTGTTCATTTGTTCTCTTCATCATCCATTCTCCCTCCTCTCCACTTTTTGCCTTTCTTCCTTCCCTCCCTTCCAGCACTGGCGATTGAACGCAGGGCTCACACCTGCTAGGGAAGCACTTTACCAACAAGCCACATCCCTAGTCCTATGTATTTATCTATTTATTTATTAAAATTTTTGAGTTAGGGTCTCGCTAAGTTGCCCACCCTAGCCTTGAATTTGCAGGTTTCCTGCCTTAGCCTCCAGAGTAGACTAATGGGATTATAAAGTTTGCACCACTGTACCTGGCTTGGCCTCTACTGTTTCTGCTAAGAAACCTGCTGTTAATTTTAGGTTTCCTTTGTTAGTAAGGAAACCTTGCTTCTTTTCGGAATTTCCCATTGTCTTTGACTTTCAGTATTTAGTGTTATGTGTTTGTGAATTTCTGTGGATTTATCTTACTTAGAATTTGTTGAACTTTCTAGATATGTATATTATTGTTCTTAATAAACTATGGAAGTTTCCAGCCATTATTTCACCAAAATGCTTTCTTGCACACCTCTGTATTCTGGTGTGCTTATATGTATATGTTGGTATGCTTAATAAAGTTACATTTCTCTGAGGCTGTTCAATTTTTTCAGTCTTGTTTTTTGTTGTTCATGTTGCTTAATCTATTGATCTGTCTTTATATTCATTGATTTTTTTGACTGTTGAAATCTAATGTTGAGCCCCCAGTGAAGTATTTAGTTATTGTACTTTGCAACTTTGCAACTCTCATCCTTCTATCTCTTTTTATTTCTGTTTATTGATAATCTTTGTTTGTTTGTTTGTTTTTGATACTGGAGATCCAACTCTGGTCCTTGTGCTTGAGAGGCAGGCGGAGGCACCACTGAGCTAATCCCCCGGCCTTCTTTATTGATATTCTTTAATCTGGCATTGTTATCACATCACTCTTCCTTCTTTCTTTCTTTCTTTGTTTGTTTGTTTTTTTGAGGCAGGGTCTCACTGTGTAGTTGAGATTGACCTGGGTGGGACTCACTTGTAGCCCAGGCTGGTCTGAACTCACAGCAATCCTCCTTTCTCATTGTTGTCCGTGCTGGGATTACAGGCCTGAGCCACCGCGCCCAGCCTGTTTATTTATTTTTGAGATAAGAGTCCCATCTTTCTTACTTTGTAGTTCAGGCTGGTTTTGAACTCCTTATGTAGCCCAGGCTGGACTCAA